CTTCCATACACATAGATACTTGCAAATAAATTATTATACTTGCAACTAAATGCTAATAAGCTAATAAGTGAAAAAAAATTCTTTTGTGGATTTGTGTTTATAAATTTTTGTTGCATTCGTTTGTTGAAGGTAAATAAAGTTCAAATACAACAGGTGGAATATGTAAAATCTTGACTCACATCAAGAAGCACGTGAGTCGCCAGCATTCCGTTGACCTTGCACGCGGATTAAGTTAAACGGTCAATTAGCACCATGGGTCGCTGCCAGGAACACAACACCGCGGAGAATTAATTTATTCCGCGTGCCGTGATTAGTCTCTAATTAGCTGCGCCTAGTGAACTTCGTGTGACGCAACCGATCATGGGACGGTGTTTTGGTGTGTAGTGTGTAGGTGGCGTGTTGATAGGTGGACCTGACATGTGTTGGTGAACTGGACGGAGAAGTATGAAGGATATTTCTAAACTCTGCGGAGGGTGTCTGCAGGATCAAGACTCTCCGGAACGGGAGGAGAATAAAGTCCATGTGAGTCTCGAGGTTACTTTCGTTATCGGCGAGAGAGAGGTGCAATCTCTATGGTTTCATGGTATACAGTCATGGTGTCATTATGGTAATTCAAATAATTCACGCTGCTGTGCTATTGTTGCAGAAACAAGTTATATGTTAAAATGGTTTTAAAAAGGTACAAGTGCCATTATGGTAATAGAAATAATTTATCGGTTGTGCCATTGAGGCAGCTACAAGCTGAATGTCATACAGGGTACAAAAGAGTAATTTTAGTAGAGCTAAAGTGCTTGTGTGGAATGCAGAAAGATAACCAAATATGGGCATCAGAGTGTCCTTGTGGTACCTTTTAAGGATATCTAGGGGTACCGTCGTCACCTTTTACTTTTAGAGAAATTTAGAGTTTTATTGTAGTACCTTTTAAGGATATTTAGTGTGTCATCGTGGTATCTTTGAGGGATATTTAGAGTGCTATTGTGGTACATTTTAGGGATATGTGTAGTGCCATTGCAGCACTGATCATACAAAGCATGAACCATTGTGTTGAGACATGTTGTTTATTTCCTAACCATTAGTCAACAAAATGTTTTGCTTTATTTATTTATTGAACATCATTACATTACACAATTTCATAGTATAACGACATAACAAGTAAGGATAACTATTAGTTATGTTTACCTGCAAAATATACTTTTGCGAAGTAAACTTAAAGCATTACTGTATTGGAAATGTATTGACAGCAAAACGAATGCACTACTTACCTGTGTATTCCTTTAGTTAAAGCCAATGCCAAATGGAGTATACTTGCAGCATGGTGCCAAAGTATATTTCACTAGTATACTGTCAGCATGATGCCAAAATATATTTCAATAGTATACTGCCAGCATGGTGCCAAAATATATTTCAATAGTATACTCTCAGCTTGATGCCAGAGTATATTTCAATAGTATACTGCCAGCATGGTGCCAAAATATATTTACGCTGCTGAGACTTAATTGCCTGAAGTGCAGTAGAACAACGAACGCTCAGTGCCAGCATGTGTCATCGTCATAATTGTGTGTGATGTAGAAGCAGATACGCGAGTCTTGTTTACGTTTGGATGGGCTCGTGTTTACAGACTATGGGAGAGTTCCAACTTTTTGGTTTAGAGAGGGGAATAACCAGCGGCAAATCTCGTGTTTGATGTACCATCTCGTGTGTATATATATATATATATATATATATATATATATATATATATATATATATATATATATATATATATATATATAAAGTATGGATGGACGGACGGACGGACGGACGGACGGATGGATGGATGGATGGATGGATGGATGGATGGATGGATGGATGGATGGATGGATGGATGGATAAATGGATGGATAAATGGATGGATAAATGGATGGATAAATGGATGGATGGGATGGATGTGTAGATATATAAATATAAATACAAATAACGAAATGTGCAGGTGGTATCGACGTGTGTGCTATTCTGTCGACATATGGTTATCCAATTAATACACACGGGTCGTCTAGTATATTATAAAAACAAAGTGCCGCCCAAGGCGTTTCGGCCATTAGACACAAACCCAAGCGTCGCCTTTGCGAGTAACTAAAGTACTACTTTTTGCCAGAAGCCATTTTGATTTGATTCCCTCTTGCAAGTAGCTGTACCTGTAGTGTGTTGATGGAGACGGACGGGCTGGCACTTGATTTGAATGTTGAGTACTTCTCTGTACGTTTATATCTTATGAGCAGTGAGTAGAGTAGGATGGGGGTGGGGAGGAGTAGGGGGGGTGTTCCACCCTTGAGTTGTTTAGGAAAGGGAGGTAAATGAGCAGGTATGAGGCTAATAGAAACGTTGGTTGTAGCTAGGCTAACTTTGAATTACCCGAGGGTTTGTGTGTACAGGAGGAGCAGGGGTGGTAATAAGGTAGCGAGCATACATACGAAGGGGAGGGAACTTCATTGGATCTATTTTTATTAATTTTTCGTTTCTTTTTTTTGTTTTTTTCAAACGCTACTTGAAGGTAATTTTGAATGAAAGAATGTGAATGTTTGTAGGTCACGTGAATACTCGAGAAAATAAATTCTTACCTGGGAAAGAGAGAGAGAGAGAGAGAGCTAAAAAACAGAAAAAGAAGAAACTAAACTTTTTTATAAGCTGCTCTTATTTTATAATTCTGTTGAAGAAATGAATTGAACAGATGGTAAAAAATGAATGTAATTTACGTGTTTTTTTTTATTTACTCTAACAACAGTTCAAATGTAGACCATTCGCGGAGTTAAACTTTTAAAGCAGGCCTTGTTTCTCTTCAATGTCTGCATCATACTGATTAAAACGTCTGATGTATATTATTGCTTCAAATAGTTAACCTGATCTACAACGGTATCAAATTACAAATTGTGGCTGCATCATACATTACATAGGGGGGTGGGGTCTCCAATCGTTGAAACTCCAGAATTGTGTAGTAGATAATATAATAGATAAACAACAGAAAAAGCAGATATCTGAGCATTGAATTTGAGTTCAAACTTTGAAATTTGTAAAAGATGTGTTGAGGTCTACCTCCAAATATTTGTGCTTTTTCTTCTTTCCAATAACGCTTTGTAAAATCCTCAAAAATGGTTACTTTCTAATTGTAAATAATACTTTAAATTACTGAAACATCCGTGTTAAAATGTAACATATTTGTCGTTGTGTTGACCAGCTTTAGAGATAGTTTAAAACTTGAAACAAAGATGTGTCTGTTCTTACACAGTCAACCGGAAGTGGCGTGAGTTTAAACATGTTGGCTGTAAAACGCCATCTGTTAGCAGGTGAGGCTATCGTCTGAAAGTTTAATGCTTCATTTCGTTTAATGCAGGTTTTTAACAGTTTTATTAATGCCTTACAGCAGGTTTTGTAACATTTTTATTAATGCCTTACAGCAGGTTTTTACGTTTGTTTTTAATGTTTAGGTTTTGTAATATGTGTGCTTAATGTTTAGGTTTTGTAATGTTTGTGTTTAATGTTTAGGTTTTGTAATATTTGTGTTTAATGCCTCAAGGCTGGTCAATCTAGAATTTGTTCTGTATAAGCAGAGATTTGTCGTAACACTTGCATTTGTTCTATATCGCAAAAAATGGCGTTTCATAGTTTCTTTTTACTGCTGCGGACTACTTCGTACATTGTGAACATACCCTACTCTAGGTTTAACTATAACCTAGTACTAGTCTAACCATGGCGCATTCCTGGTCTAACCACAAACCACTCCTGGTGTAACCACAACCTACTCTTGAGTCAATCCACAACCTACTCTCCGCCACACAACAATTTGACCACAACACCACCGTACTCTACTGTTATTATTATTCCGTTCACCTTGCTTTCGTTAATTACCTCTAATTAATTCACGACCCAGTAGCATGACATGACCTTGTGGACCCACCGAGTGACTCTAGACCCACCATAGGCGTCACTAAATGGGGTACCTTGACATGAGCTTTCTCATTAGAAACGAAACTTTTTTTCCACTCTCTCTCTCTATTGTTTGACCTTTGCACTGGAACCCCTGTCTGAAAATTATACCGGAGCATAGACGCAGATCTCTGTGTATCTGGTAATAGTTTAAACTATCTGAGGACCCAGTCAGTGTCACCTATGGATACATTCCTCTATATGTATACTGTGCTACACGTCTGTATAGAAGTCAGCGAGATTGGAATAAGATTAACTTCACTGTAACAATAATAGTACAGTACAAAAAAGCCAGATAAATGGTGCAAACAATAGTAAAGTTTGCACCAGATATCAGGCTTTTTGTTGTGTTTAAGGCAGCAAATGCATCATATGTAATGGGATAAAGAGGAATGGTGTGGTCAACACTTCTCCCAGTCGACTTTACTTCCCTAACTTAAGTCAGTTACCCATCAGAGCTGGGTGGACTCATAGACGTCCTACAGTCGCAAGTCCGAACCGAGATCCGAACTCGAAACCTTCGGGCTACCAGTCAAACGCTCTACCAGTCGACCACGATTTCCCTAATATGTATATACAAAATACGATCACCACTTCACGAGCCTTCAGTCGTAAGTCCGAACCGAGATTTGAACTCGAGTTCTTCTGTCTACCAGTCAAACGCTCTACTATTTAACCACACCTTCCCTAACATGTATATATACAAAATACAATTACCACTTTACGAGCCAAGCCACTGTTAAAGTCCAACAAAAAAATTTGTATCGGCATTATTTTGTCCTTCGCGTATTCTGTTATGTTTACCTTTCACGTTAGACTCGCTAATGACGACAACACCTTGTAATTAGCTGTAGAACACTTTAAAAAGTGTTCATCTAATGGACAGCGTCTAGCAGACGTAAATAAAACATGACTCCTTCTAAACAAATAAAAAAAATAATTTTAAAACGAGTCTCAATTTACAATATTGTTTTTATTTTCCCTTGATGTCTGGTGTGGACAACATGAATTATAAATTTTGTCTTTTTAATTTTCTTCAGGTGATGACGTCATGTGTTCCACAAGCCGGCCACGAGACGGTGAGTACTGTGTTCTATTTTTAGATCTCTGTTATCAACCACTTCCTGTTTACTTCTTCACCACACCCATACCCCGACACCCTCTAACTCATCCCACCCCCCCCCCTCCACTATTTCCTTCCCCACCCCCTCCCCTAACTCCCCACCTATCTCTATCACTAGGTCTTCATATCCTGTGCTACTAGCCTCATTCCGGTCTATCTTAGACTCTTTAGGAAAAAAAAAACATCGTTTGACTTCGTGACGACAGAGCTATCAGACGTGAGTAGCAGACGTCAGAAACCGTAGAAACGTCATCAGCCTCCGGGCATCTTGTTTTCTGGCCACTGTGTAAACACCTTGCTCGCGCTTCCCTGGCAAATGGCGCGAAATGTCTCGCGTCTGCTGGGGCTGGGGGGAAACAAGCAGCGCTGCTGTGGGGCGTGATGGTATGGGTGTTTGGTGGAGTGATGGTATCTGAAGTCAACATTGGTGATGGTATCTTAAGTGATGGTACGGGTGTTTGGTGGAGTGATGGTATCTGAAGTCAACATTGGTGATGGTACCTTAAGTGATGGTATCTTAAGTGATGGTATCTTAAGAGATGGAATCGTAAGTACACATGGGGCGTGATGGTACGGGTGTTTGGTGGAGTGATGGTATCTGAAGTCAACATTGGTGATGGTATCTTAAGTGATGGTATGAGTGTTTAGTGGAGTGATGGTATCTGAAGTCAACATTGGTGATGGTATCTTAAGTGATGGTATCTTAAGAGATAGAATCGTAAGTACACGTGGGGCGTGATGGTATGGGTGTTTAGTGGAGTGATGGTATCTGAAGTCAACATTGGTGATGGTACCTTAAGTGATGGTATCTTAAGTGATGGTATCTTAAGAGATGGAATCGTAAGTACACATGGGGCGTGATGGTACGGGTGTTTGGTGGAGTGATGGTATCTGAAGTCAACATTGGTGATGGTATCTTAAGTGATGGTATGAGTGTTTAGTGGAGTGATGGTATCTGAAGTCAACATTGGTGATGGTATCTTAAGTGATGGTATCTTAAGAGATGGAATTGTAAGTAGGCCTACATGTGGGGCGTGATAATACGGGTGTTTAGTGTAGTGATGGTATCCGAAGTCAACATTGGTGATGGTATCTTAAGTCAACATGAGTGATGGTATATTAAGTCAAAATGACTGATGGTATATCAAGTCAACTCGACTAAGCATACAGCTTGGTACATTGAAAATAAATTAGATATCTAAAGTCATTATGACTTATAGTATCGGCAGTCAGTGTTTTTTTTAATACTGTGAATTCTGGATTACGAATAACAATACAATACTGACAAAGCATAAAAAACATTCGGGGTGAGCCTAGTTCAACGCGTAATCCCAGGCAGAAGAATTTGCTGATGAAGTAGTTTGGAAGTTTTATTAACCTCTGTATATGGTCATTTCTTTATTCAACCCACTTGCTTATCCAGTACAATGTCAAATTTATTTTCTCAATTGGCATTTACATTGTGGACGATATGTTCATATATATATATATATATATATATATATATATATATATATATATATATATATATATATATATATATCAAGAGAAACAGCACCTAAAGTATGGGGGAAAAAATTCTAATTACAATCGTAATCTATTAATCATGTTCAGTAATGCACTTGACTTTATTTATCTAATACTGCTGTTTTGAACTTGATAGTCGGCAGGGCAGTTCAAGTAGAGTTGACATAATATAATAGTCGATGTAGTGTTGCGTGTCTCACCGGATTATCTAGTTAATCACACCTGGTCTGTCTCAAACAACCCCCTATATCTCCCCCTCCCCTGGTCATATAACATACCTGTCATGTCTTAAGACACATCTTGCAGCCTGGGTAAGATTTTTTTACCTGCCATTAAGGCTCTGGTATCCCCCCCCCCAACCTCCCCCACTGAAGCCTTACCAACCAACACGCTCTGCGCGAATATCAAATTTTACCTGTCCAAGGTCTTTGATGAACTGCTTGATGCGGGGCAGACCCTAGGCTGACGGCGTACGGTCGCCTGCTGCTAGAGGATGTAGATTGCCGGGTCTTTGAGGTGCCAGAAGGGGCGGTTCTCACGTTTCTAATGTCATGTCATCGAGGGGGATCACGCTCCTCACGTGAATATTCACGTGAGTTAAAGGAGTTCACGTGAACTGTTTTACTCACCATGAACTTCACTAGTTCAAGAGAACTGCATTACTTCACGTTAACGTAAGTGAATTACTATACTTCACGTGAGTTAAACTAGTTCACGTGAACGTTCACTTCACTTAAAGTAAGCTATATTCCGTGAGCTACAAAAAAGAAAAGTACTCAAAGATTCTATGACCTCTGCATACAAGGGGATAGTGTAGTTATTCTTTTATTGGTGTGAAAAGTAATTAATCTATACTTACCAAAATATATGGATTGTAGTGGTTAAATCGAGTTCCACCCCACCCCACCCATTTCCAATCTACCCCACCCCTGGTATTCTTGGTTAATTAAGCCGATTCGTTTCCGCCTTTCTTCTTGAGCAAGCTATCCATTGGTCAGAGTCCATATATTTCTTGACCCCCGCATAAGAAGGCAGATTGTGCTCAGCACTATGACCAGCCTTTATTTTCTCAATCGTAAGTCAGGTACCCATCAGAGCTGGGTAGACTCAGGGACGTCCAACAGTCACAAGTCATTACGTGATTCTCAAGTCACGTGTAAAATGGAGCAAACCAGATCTACTTGTTTAAGACACGCTTAACTAATTTAACAGAAGTCGTCATGGCGGGGGGGGGGGGGGGGGGGGGGGGGGGGGGTGATGTAGTACAAGCCAGGGGTGTACGCATGACATTGACATTTGTCATTTCAAGCTGCCGGTACGTGACTTGACATTCGGCCGACACCCATGTTTGCGGCAGCGCTATCAGCTGACAGACTACTCTGACATGTCAGAACTGTCAGCGTGCGACATGACATCAGTGTCGGCCATTGTTTAACCGTTGTCGTACGGCGGGGTGTCGTGTTATGTGAACGTGGTCTTGAATACGGCCCGATGATTTGAGTTTTCTCTGCGCTGAAGAATTTTCTCGGTTATTTCCCTTGGTATACTTTTTATTTTTCTTCATAATACTGAGCTAGATCTATTTATTTATTTATGCTTGTTGTCGGTGCTTTACGTTGGGGTCGTTCATAAATGCTGTCACGCAATATTAGCCGAGTTTTAAAATGCACTGACCTATCTCGTCCTCCACCCTCATCCCCACACCCCCACACACGTTTAAAATACCATGACAAATCTGCAGACACACACATAGATTATTACATGTTTTGCATCATTTATGTTTATGAAATAGAAAATATTGCTTAGTTAAAAAATTTTCAGCTCCAGAATCGTCACCATTAGTTAACTGGAATATCCCACACCACCCACCTCCATATTTGCTCCTCACAACATGATGCCATTCATGTACCATCTCCTAATACCATCTCGTTTTTTTTAATCTACTACTTTGATATAAACACATGTAATGTTGGATTATGGCCAATACAGGCGCTACTGTAGACCAATGCTCATGGAGTCATTGACCTTACTTTATACGGCAAGTAACCTACACTGTGTGTAACTATTGACGTATACTTACTGCGGCGGTTTACTTATACTTTGTACGACCACTGACCTATACTTTGTGAAACCACTGACCTATACTTTGTACTACCACGGACCTATACTTTGTCCGACCATTCACCAACATTTTATGCGGCCATTGACCTATATTTTATGCGACGAATGACCTATACTTTATGCGACCATTGACTTATACTTCATGCGACCATTGACTTATACTTCATGCGACCATTGACCTTTACCTTATGCGACCATTGACCTATACTTTATGTGGCCATTGACCTATACTTTATGCGACCATTGACCTTTACTTTATGCGACCATTGACCTTTACTTTATGCGGCCACTGACCTATACTTTATGCGGCCATTGACCTATACTTTATGCGACGAATGACCTATACTTTATGCGGCCACTGACCTACACTTTATGCGGCCACTGACCTATACTTTATGCGGCCACTGACCTATACTTTATGCGACCATTGACCTATACTTTATGTTGCCATTGACCTCACTTTATGCGGCCACTGACCTATACTTCATGCGGCCATTGACCTATACTTCTAGCGGCCATTGACCTATACTTGTTCTACTCTACAACTCCCACATACCTAATCCTATTCCCCGGTACAATTTTACCACCCTCAGCAAGAACGACCAACCAAACGAAACGAGACCATCTGTTCCCGTACAACTTTTCTCTGCTGGCTGTTTGCCCAGATAACTCCACAGGTCAGACTGACCTTTCAGCAGTGCAACCCCCGCGCAGATGACCGCTGCATGAAACAATTATACGATAATTGCCGCAATCGTTATTTATCTTCCCCAGTGCCTCATCTGTATCCGGCAACGATTAAAGCTGACTTAATCGGCCCCCTTATATATATAGTTTAGGGTGTAAGTTAACCGCTGATGTGTTTTTATACTCTTACGAGAGAGTAAGAGGGGGGGGGGTAAACAATAGGGAGCAATTATTGATCGTAGTGTTTATATTTACCTTTCTCTCTCCCCTCTCTCTCTCTCTCTCACTCACTCTCTCTCTCTCACACACAATGTACAATGCCAATCGTGTTTTTGTTTTGTTGATGTTGAATTACCGGGCAGTTTTTTCTTACGCAGTCGGACCGTAGGTTAGTTGGTCCGTGGGTTAGTTGGTCCGTAGGGTAGTTTGTCCGTAGGGTAGTTGAACATTGGGCATTAGGTCCATCGGACAATTGTTGCATTGGGCAGTCGGTGCGTAGGGTATGCAGTCCGATGGGCATTTGGCCCATCGGGTATTTGGACCGTATGGCATTTGAATATCATCATTGTGAAAGTCTAGCATCTGAGTGATACATTGTTACCACCATTATTATTGTTCGAC